CCCGGGTGGCCAGCCCAGCCCCTTCTCACCCTGTCACGCAGAGGCAGCCCTGCCCGGGAGCGTCCCGGGTGGCCAGCACAGCCCCTTCTCACCCTGTCACACAGAGGCAGCCCTGCCCGGGAGCGTCCCGGGTGGCCAGCCCAGCCCCTTCTCACCCTGTCACGCAGAGGCAGCCCTGCCCGGGAGCGTCCCGGGTGGCCAGCCCAGCCCCTTCTCACCCTGTCACGCAGAGGCAGCCCTGCGCCTGGTACGTGGTTTGCAGAACGTGGATGTCTTCGCGGGGGAGGTGGCCACCTTTTCCTGCGAGGTGTCTCGTGCTGGTGGGCCAGAGGCCCGCTGGTGGCTGGATGGGACCCTGCTTCAGGACGGCCCCCAGAGCTCCATCACTGTGCGTGATGGGACCCTCCACTCCCTCACACTCTCAGGCCTGGGGGTCGCCGACTCGGGCACTGTCACCTACCAGGCAGGGCCCCTGGTCTCCACGGCCAAGTTGTTGGTCAAAGGTATTGGCTGGTGGGCTGCCCCACCCCCACGCTGGTGCTTCTGCTCCTGCCCCGCATGCTTCCTGCAGGCTCCGGGCGGTGGGGGGGTGGCTCAGGGTCAGAGTGTGGCCAGTCCTTGTGGTATAGACTGGGCATCGTCCTTGTGTGCTCTCTGCGTGGGGCAGCCGAGAGAATAGGTGGCAGCGTCCTGCTCCGCTTCATAGATGAGAACAGCGAGTTTGGGGGAGAGGACAGACAGAAGGCAGACCTCGTGCCCCACCTGTCCGCAGGGTTCCAGGCACTGCCCACCTGGCTGCCACCTGCCACTGGCTGGGGCTCAGCATCCCCCTGCCACGTAGCCTCTGCCTTCGGGCACCTGTAGAGGGTAGCATGGAGGGTGAGAGCAGCCTTCAGGGCTCACCCAGTAACTCCTCTGACCTGAGGCTGGGACTCACCCTGCACCCGCTGTGGGTACCAACAGGGCTGGCCATGGGAAAGGCCCATTCCCCCACCTCCAGTAGAGGCGCCCCGGTCCCCTGCTTTGCTTGGTGCACAGACACCCACACATCATGCTGGGGGGCAGAGGTGCCTTCCCCACAGCCAGAGGCTGGGCCGAGAGTGCGGCGGGTGTGGCTGCCCCGGGGCTGGGCAGAGAAGGATGGTGCGGCTCCCTCTTTATTGTGGGCATTTAACGTTTGCTGAACAGCGCAGAAGCAATTCATACCCCCTGTAGAGATTTTGGAGCATTCAATTTAGAGGGAGAACGATCCTTGGTTGAGTGGAATTTCAACAAGTGACCCTGGGGAGGGGTCATATGTGCTGCTGGGAGAGGCAGGGCCCCTTCAGGGAGGCGGGGCGGGGCTGGGCGGCCACGTGCCCAGGGCCTGAGGGCTTTCGGGAGGGGACACCATGTCTCCTGCAGAGTGACAGGCAGAGGCCTGGGCTGGGGGAGGTGGAGCATAGCGGCAGGGGGGCCCAGCCTGGACAGAGACCCTGACAGTGCTGTCTGCCAAGGGTGGAGGGACAGTGTGGGGTCTGTGTGGCCACGTGTTCTTGCGCACAGGCAGACGAGGGCCTGCGGGACCGCACTTCGCGCCTGTCTGCCACGCGGCAGCTCCACGCTTGCCTGCCACAGCTTGCCGCCGCTGACGCCACGGTAGCAGCAGGGGGTGTGAGCGTGCTCCTGTGCCTAATGCGTGTCCCGGGGTGTCGGCCGACAGATCCCGCGGTGGAAGTGGTCAGTGCCATGCAGGACCTGGTGGTGGAGGAGGACGGCATGGCCGAGCTCCTCTGCCAGTACTCCCGGCCTGTGCAGGCCACGTGGAAGAGGGATGAGCAGGAGGTGCATGCCGACGGGCACCGGGTCGTCATAGAGCAGGACTGGAACGTGGCCAGGCTGACGCTCAGGCCGGCCTTACCCTGCGACAGTGGCATCTATGCCTGTGAGGCTGCGGGCACCCGCGTGGTGGCCCTGCTGCAAGTGCAAGGTGAGGCCGCCATGCTGGCAGCCAGGACCCGGCCACGGCCACAGTGAGGCTCAGGCTGTGCCAGGATGGGGG